AATAATGTTTATGGCCTGAAGAGTGCTGACCTTAGCTCCAGTGATGCTCGAGGCTGACGGCGGAGACCCCAGGTACGCGTGATGCCTGTGAACATCTACCTTTTATTTGAAGCTCAAGGCACAGACAAACATGTGCATTGCCTTTCATACGCCCAGCCGCCAAGAGCGACCTGCGGGAAGCCTCCGGGCTCAGCCTCTCCTCCCCGGGGAGGATCTGCTCCCGCCACGGGCTCTCGTCCGCAGGGTCCGGTTCCCCTCTCCGCTTGGCTCTGGAGGACAGCAGATGTTTCCCTGCCCACCTGCGCCCGCTCGCAGCTGCTGGCCAGGCTCAGCTCTCTGCTTTTTGTGCTGTAGCTCCCATTTTAAGCCCACAAACGCTGCTCTGCTGCGGGAACGAGGCTACCGAGCGCCGTGCCCTGGGGGCAACCCGGGGGGCAAAGCGTCGGAGCCAAGACCCCCTATTCCCAAGGCAGAGGCGCAGCCTGAGCTCGCACCGGGGTCCCGCAAGTAAGCTGTTAACCCCTTCCCTTGCTCAAGGGCTTGCTGCAGTGAAGGACCCCAAGGTGCAAATGCGGGAGATGGACAGACCCCTGCTCTCTCTGCGAGACCGACACGTCCCAGCTGGCACCAGCACTGCTGCCAGGCGGGACGGGGGCTTCTCCTCCCCCTCGGCCCTCAAGGGCCCGGGCAGCCACGCGATGCACCAAGACCGGCCTTTCCCACGCCCCCGAGCAGCACCGGGGCTGCTGCTTTAATGCCTTAAAACGAGCCGAGACGCCGCGTCTTATAAATGACTACAACGCGCCTAATAGGTAGCCTTTTCATAAAGGAGCGCAGCGGATGTGTACGCAGGCCCTGGTGAAGCTAATAACTGCCTCTCAGTGGCTTTGGGAGAGTTATTACATATTTAAGATCCAAGCTCCCTTAATCAACCGCAGAGATGCAGCTGGCAGCGGTAAATTGCCAGCAGCAGCTCATTACAAATAAAGACACATTGGGTTTTCAAGGACAAAAGCCATGTCGGCGCTTCGACGAGAGCTAGCCGCTCTCGTCCTCGCCATCCTCCGCCCCGGGCTCGCCGCCTGCTTCCCCCGAGCCCCCTGCCCCCAGGGACGCTACTGCATCGAGTTGCCGGGTCTCGTGCACGGCCGCGGCGACTCGTCTGGGCAAGGTCGCACCCCTCGCTTCCCCAGAGCTGAGTCAGCACTTTATTTGTGTTGCCTCTGTAGAAATACTTTGCCCAGCTTCTTTTGGAAAAGGAAAGGGGAACTTGAAGGAGGAGTGCTCTTTCGTCATCCCCTCCCCGCCCCCCAAGCCCCCAAATCGGCTTGTATTGACCTTGACATTTTTGCAGGGCTCTCGGGAGGGAGGATTTGCAGTCTCTGGGGACAAGGTGACATTTTCCAAAAAAAGCAACAACTCGGAAAGTTTTAGCTGGTGTTTGTGCCCCTGATGGTATTTGGCTTCTAGATTTAGATTTCCAGAAAAATGCCAAAGTCAGCTGGGAAAAGTTAATTTCTGCGGGCCAAGAACTGCACTCCCTTAAGACCACAGAAGACACCTTTTGTAAACCAGTTAAATGGTAGCAAGGGAAATGTTATGAAGAGCAAGGTCTAATCACATAAGTTCTTCCATGCGTTTACAGGTGGGAAGGCAGAGGCGAAATATCAGTGTAACTGACTATCCATATATTTGCTTGTAACATCCTTGAAGCTGACGAAAACGAGAGCTCGCCCAATTTGTACAGAACTAAGGGGAGGGGGAAAGACAATTGCAAAAACATTGCAGTCTAATACAAACAACAACAAAAAACAAAAAACAAAAAGCAGGGGCAGGCATCCAGACCGCAGATTGCATTCGAGCTCTAGGTGCCATCTCAGCTCTAGAAAAATTACTTTCTTGACCACGAAAGAACACGTGTTTTTCACACAGCCTTGCAGTCAGACCCGGAAGAGCTGTTGCTCCTCCTGATGCTTCGGGACAACACGGAGAAGCGATCCCATCAGCTTTCCCCCAAGAAAGGAGGCTGGACACCTTTCGGGTTATTAGGCATTCAATCAGGAGACAAGCCCCCTCCCCAGCTAGAGGAACCACCGACCTCCCTCAAGAGCCTGCAACTACATGTCTTATTAGCCCACGTTTTCACGCTCGTCAAGAAGGCTCAAACCATTAACAGCGCTGCAGGATAGAGCTGGAGTCGCCCTGCCAAGGACAGCCCCGAGGAGAGGCCGTTGCTTATGGTCGACCTCTCCTAGACGGCTGTCTCAGAGCCCCAGGCCCCCGCGCAGCGGCGCCGCGACGCCCGTCCGATTCCCACGGCGTCCCTACGGACGAGCCGCTGCGCGAAGCTGCCTCTCCCTCAGCAGAAGGCATTTAAACGCCGTTCCTTTCGCGGGCCAGCGTGCTCCTTGCTAAGCGTGCAAGCTGCACTTCAGGAGCGAGGATAGCCTCCTCAGAGAGGGACTGACGTTTCCTCCAGCGTGCAGCTCCTTTGGTAGCATCTCTATTTAAACGCCCAGGAGAGGCTCATCCCTGGCCCATTCATAGCTATTTTCTCTGCTCTGGGAAAGGAGACATCAACAGATTGCAAAATGGGGAGGTCTCTATTGACGCCGCTAGCAATCAACATGTTACGTAATTGGGCCTTCTGGGAGCAGGAAGATCTCCAGAAGAATGGGGCCCTCCCAGTGCCTTCTGGTTTTACTGGGACTTGCCAGTAAGCCATCACTTACTGTACTCAGCTTGCTTTCATCCTCGTGTCCTTGCGTGCTGCCCTACGTCTGCTATTAGAGAAACCCATCTTGCTTGATTTTGTCGAGCTAACCGATGCGGCCTTGAGTGCCACAGGTGAAGAGGCACTGGAGACCTTTCTCAAGGCCAGCAAAGCCATCTCTTGGCCAGACAATGGGAAAACTTGAACTCTTTGAGCTTTATCAGCTCAAATACACTGGGGAATTGCACCATGCTACACAGCTGTGATTTATCTGAAGCAGCAACACAGCAAATCGGCTTCAGCTCCATAACCCACTTATTGTGCTGGCAAACCGTGCATTCTTCTACCTGAACAGGGCAGTCCCTTGGCCAACGTGTGGTCTTGCAGTGGGACAGCGGCCACCTCCTCCCACCCCATCACCGCTGCCAGCACATAGGCCCCTAAAACACCCAGCACAAAGCCCCCCTCCCATGCACCATCCCTGCCTGGTCTGCGGTACCGGCAGCAGATGGCTTAAAGGCAATAGAGATATGATGGGAACGTACTGGCATCTGCACAGAAAAACCACACTCAGGTTTCTGAGAAAGCTGTTTTCCCCCCCTCCACTTCTTGCTTGCTGCATGCATGCAGATGGCTGGTAAGAAAAGGAAGGAGGCGGAGAAGGCACACCGCCACCCCCTCCCCAGGCCGGGGAACAGCTCCGACAGGATGCTGGCCCCCAGGCGATGGATGGGGAAGCCCGCTGCAGCCTCTGACCGCACGTTGGCTCACCGGGCGAACGCGTCGCAGGGGAGTGAAATCCAAATGTCAGAGTCGTGCTGCCAGCAGCCCACTTTCGCTAATGCTCCAAGTGACCCGGTTAGAAAGTAAAGAGCCCTTGGGGGATATCCTGATAGCCTAGTTCATTCCTTCTCTGCAGGCACCTCCCTGCTTTTCACCAAAGGAAAAAACCCAAATGACTGTAGCAGAGAGGAATCGAGTTATTGCTCAGGAGTCCAGACCAGAAGCGACAGCATATCACGTGCTCCTGGCCTTTGTGCAGCCTCCAGGCTGCTCGAGACGTGAACTTCTTGCCCAGTTCTGAGAAGCAGAAACCTCAACATTCATCAGCTCGTCTCATACCCTGCCCAACAACCACAAATCGCCTTTTGATTTCCCCCACTTCAAAAAAACCTTGCAACTTTTCCATTCGCTTCATTCTCCCTGTACACTCAGAGCAGATACGAACAGCGCACAGGACACCAGGCCCAGTCCCTCGCCCCACCAGGCTCGCCAGGAGTCTGCCCCGGCTCCTCAGAGACCAGCCACATGAGATGCAACATCCAAGCCAACCTTCAGGTCTCCCTTTAGACAGCTATGCTCTTCCTTAGGGACCGCTCCACATCCTACCCAGCAGTTTTGTGCCACCAAGTCTATTGCCAGCGGGACTAGTCCACAGATGGGCTTCACCGCAGGGAGAGTTGTGCCTGGAGGAACAGGGCTCCCGACCCTTGCTCTTCCCAGAGCTACAACCAGGCAAGGAAGTCTCTTTGGGACATCCCGGAGGATAGACATTTTCCACCACGATTTCCTGGGCCAATTCACTTTCTCCACATAATGTGATAAGCAAGGCTGCAGCACAAGCAGTTTTTCTACTAGCCACCCAGTGGTACTCGGGAGTGACCTCCAGCAGCTTCCAGACTCTTTTTTATTTGCAAACCACCAAACAAGGTGGCAGTTAGCCACAAGCCTTCTCTGTGTGACAAGGCTTTCTCAGGACACGTGCTGGACAGCAACCTAGGCCCACAACCTTCAAAAGACAAGGAGGAAAAAGTGACCTCCCCCAAAGCCAGCAGCCCTGAAGAGAGCTTCAGTGGAGCAGGCCCAGTCCCAGCTGAGCTGACCCTCAACAAGCAAGGGAAAGTAGGTATCCCAATTCAAAGACTCAATTTAGGCCCTCTGTGAGAAAGGCTCCTGTTTTTGGGAGGAAACAGCCACCTCAGTTCTGGTCTCTGCCCCACTGCAGGGGTCTGCTCAGCACATGGGTTCGAGGGGAGAAGTTGGGCTCACAAACAAGTCCCACCTCCCTGCTGCTGGGGGTGGAGCGTCCCAAGCAAGCACCACTCTCTGTTCACTAGCAAAGCGGGAACGCAGCATTTCAGGTGCACATAAGGCCCCCTGAAGCACACGAGGCCATTCAGGGCTTGCTGCAATGCTCTGGCACCCACATCCCTCCAGTGCAGCATTGGGAACTAGGTGCATTTAACTTCAGGAGAAAGACTTCATAAGTAACAAATAAAACCTTCACTTACACTATTTCATCATTCTGGAACTCCAGCTCCCCGCAGGTGTCTTCAAAGTCCTCTCCTCCACCTTTGGCTGTACCTTCGATGGTTTTGTAGGGCACAATAACATTTCCTCGCGCGCCAGAGGTTCGCAGGACTTTCACTTCCATGGTCCCCACGCTCTCGCTGACGTGTGTGACTGGCTCCTCAAAGGTAAAGATGCCAGCGTGATCATCATCAAAGATGGTGACAGTGGCAGTAGATGGTGAGCCAAGGCAAGCGAGCGTTGAGACACGACCGGCCTCGAGAATGCTCTCATCCGAGGCCTCAGTGCTCACGCGGACATTGCTGAGATGGACCAGGAAATTCTCATCCTCCTCAAAAATGTCGTCATCAATTATGCCAACCCGAATTTCCTTCTGGGTTTCCCCAGGCTTGAAGACTACTGTCCCTTCGGTGAACTCATAGTCAGAGCCGGCGTTGGCCGTCCCGTCCTCTGTCCGGAAGTCAACGTACACTGTGTTGGTCAAGTCGCCTCCTCGGCGAACGATGGTCAAGGCGACAGTGCCGCAGTTCTCCAGACACTGATAGGTACCCTGCTCAAAGTAGAGCTTGCTGATGGGATCATTTTCTGCCACCTCACTGTTGACCTCATGCATACTGACAGCTTTGCGGGCCTGGTCTGCAGCATGTCTCTTCAAGATGTTGCCAGCTCCGGTCATGAGCCGAGTGGCCTGAATGCGATAAAAGGCCCTGCTCTTCTGCTGCTGGCTCAGGACCTGGTAGTTGGCCAACTCAATAAGCTGCTCAATTTCCTTGTCGGGGTGCTTTTGTTTCAGCTCCTTCAGGATCCGAGCCATTTCCCTCCTGGCTTCCTCGTCATCCTGGTCTTTCTCATCGACTGCCAACACCAGCGTCCCGTCCAAGAAGTTCTCCACGTGAGAATTGGCCACCTTTCCGTCCATCTCGATATCAGCTTTGGAGGAGGGTCGGTCACCCTCATGTTCAATGATCATGCCTCTCTGCTTACCAGCCCGGTATTTCTTGTAGACGTACTTGTAAAATAAAAGCCTCCTGTCAGCGACCCAAGCAAACACCACACAGATAGGGAAGAAGAAGAAAGTGAGCAAGCCTTCCCAAACTTCCACAATCCCCGGAGATGATACAGATAAAATAATGTAAAGCCAAGTGTAGGCAAAGATGCTCCAGGCCGCTGTAACAAAAAACACTCGCAAGTGCTTGATCTTCCTTATCTCTCCATCAGGAACAACGTAAACACAGATCGCAATGATGACAAACATGTTAAACGCAGCACTCCCCACAATCGTGCTTGGCCCCAAGTCCCCCGCTGTGAAGCCGTGACCGCATACTTCGATGACTGACAGGAGGATCTCGGGGGCTGACGAGCCCAGGGCCATCAGCGTGAGGTTGGAAACTGTCTCATTCCAGATCCTCACTGTGGTTTTGCTGGTCTCGCCGTTGGGCTTCTTGATGGTTATCTCCCGCTCTTGGGATGTAATGACTTCAATGGAGGACATGAAGCGGTCAGCTATGATGGATACCCCCAGGAACATGTACACCATTGCTACAAAATACACTGTTGCCCGAGCGATTTTGTCACCAAACGAAGGGTCTTGCGGTTCCCATATTGGCAAAATCACGCCTTTCTTGCAGATGTATGAGCCAGTGCACTCCTCGGTCTCGTTCGCCGGCTCCTCGCTCGGGCTCTCCGCGCATACGCCATCTGCGTGGAAGCCGGGAAGGCGGGTGGATGAGTCGCCCGCGACATGGCCGCTTCCACCAAACAGATCCCAGATGTCCTCAACCTGCAGAGACAAAAGGAAAGATGCATTAGCCGAGGCCAACCAGAGATAACAGAGATCTTCCTTTCCACCCAATTTATTTGCCGCCTTTCCCGAAAGTACAATCGAACTACTCTTTTGCTGAAGAGTAGTCCATCCAACGAGTCCGGTTTGTATTATGATTACTGCAGATTTCCACATGCAAACCACCCACAGCGCAGCTCCCTGAAGAGAGACTGGTTCAGACGCTGCCCGTGGGCCAGAACTCGACCCCCTTCAGCTACATCGATATTTAATGCCAGCTTCCCTCTCTTTGCTAAAAGCTTATTTGTTCAATTGTGTCTTCGTGTTTCTCATCTCATTAAAACAGCTCACTCTGCTCCACAGCTGGCAGAACTGCCTCCCATTTCCAAATTACAGAGCGCTCGCTCGTTGGAGTTCAGGGCAAGAGCAGGAGGAGACAGGGAAATCCACTACCCCCCTGCTGATTTTTCAAGTATTTTTATACTTGCCGCTTTTAATCACTGTAAGCTACATATTTTACAGCCTTTTTATGCTCGCAGTCCTCCCCAGCATCCACTCTACATCAGAAGTCGGCACAAAGCAAGCGCAAGCCCTGGCAAAGCCGTGCGCTTCGCGGTAACTCGGTCATAAGGTGCACCAGAAGGGCAATCTTTAATTAACGATTTTGGAGCCATTTCTTCCACGGCGCATCGCTTTGCACCTTCCCGGCCCTGGGAAGAACCCCATATGCATCCAAGCACGGCTCTCTTGGCTTGCTTCGAGAGGAAACAAACCTGTCCCTGTGCTCTTTTCCCACTAGGTCAGCTTTGCCGGCTCCCCCTTCGAGGGCCTTTCCCGCTTCACTTCCAGCGGCGGGCATGACAGCAGCACTTGCCCTTTCCCTGCCTCACGATTTTCCAGCAGTGTTAAAGGGACCTGCAGTTAGTCAACGGTGCGTAAACCTGCAGAGCGGATGCCTTTAAGCATATAGGGATGCTTAGTGCAAACATCTGAGCATGCTCGGTCTTCCTTTCTCAATTTTACCAGCCAATAAAAGTCAGATTCCTAGTTATTAAACCTGTATTTTCTCCTTAAGGAGAGCCTTTGCCATGCGACACCTCTCCACTCCAAGTTAATTTAATCACACAATACTTAATGTTTCTACTAAGAGCGAAAACGAGTATGTCACCACCTTTGCTTGGCCGGAGCCTACAAGTGACTAAACTGGTAACGACGGACCGAAGCCCTCTGCTCCATTTGCTTTTATTGCAGGATGTTGCAGTGGGATTAATGCAGTGGAAGAATAATACCGAAATCTGATTAAGGTGGTTTTATGCAAGTCAATGACATTTCTTCCCCGGGAATCCTGTTGGGTTCTCCCTCCCCGCCGCAATTTTCTAATTAAGAGAAAGAAGAAGGCGCACAGAGCAGGAAGCGAGCAATTCGGCAAGTGGGGCGATAAGAGCAGATAAGACCAGCAAGGAAAGCAAGTCTCCTGTAAGAGAGATTGTCAAAAAAAAAAAGTGTGTGGGGGGGTCATTTGCCTTAGAAATCCGGCTATTGCTCCAAAGAGCATCGCTGCCCCGATCCCCGGCTCTGCGCACCTTTGGCTTCCCACAAAGCCGGCTTCAGCCGCCTCTTGCAAATGGGAAGTAAAAAATTAAAAACATCATGTTCTTAAAGAAGAGTGCCTCGTTGCAGGCCAGTTGGCAGACGGCTAATTCGAAACAGATGTGCGCTTGTGGACGGGGAAGTTGGGCTGAAACATGAGTTAGTCACCCGGCATCCGTAATCCTGACTGCGTTTCGCGCTGCTTCAAACCACCTCCCCGAGACGTTTGATAAAGGGGCTATCAAAATACAGGCTGCCTCGATATCTGCTCGGTTTATTCCCCACAGCTCCAACGCGGTTTTATTTATTTATTTCAAATACATATATACATACATACATACATACATACATATATATATAGCATGACATATCACCCAGCCACGTGGTTCTCCACCATCCCCTTCTGAAGGGTGGCGGTTTCAACAGAAAACTCAAAGCATCCACCTGCCCTCGTGCAGCTAATTTTGTCCCCATGGCAAGTCAAATCCTTGCACACGTGCAATTATTCAGCGCAACGAGGCATTGCGAAATCCCCTTGGCAAGAAGGGAAAACAGATGGTTCTAGAGAAAATGTTACGCTGCGGGTCACTGATCCAGGTCATGAAGAACAGGAGAGTCCCACCACGCTTTGGGCCAGCACTACAGCCTTGAGAGGATTCGAGCACTGGTAACGTCAGCCAGCAAAAAAAGAATGAATAAAAAAATAAATTAAATTTAAAAAAAAATCACTAGATCACTCGAACTTTCTCATGTTTTCCCCTTTCAGTCACTCCAGCGTTCACAATTAAAATTAACAGGCTGAGGAATTACAGAAGGCAGGAAAATACTCGGCGGCAGGGCGCTGCTTTCACGCACGCGACCGCAGCCCAGCACTCAAAGTATCTCCGAGAAGCAGTCGCTATAAAATCAGCAGCATTTCTTTGTTTGCATAACCCAAAATAAACAGCTCGGTCCCCGGAGACCCTCTCGCTCCGCGTTCGCCTCGGGTCTCGGGCCACGGGCCGCAGGCGGCTGCAGGCTCCGCGGGAGGAGCCGCCCCGGGGCAAACGCGGCTCGTTCCTCTGCCGCGAGAAGCGTCG